GAGCTCTTGGTTTTGTATGGACATAGAGTGAGTACGCACGTGCACCTTCAGAGAACCGGCGGTCGTACACCTGTAGTCACATGTCTTGCACGAATACGGCTTGTCTCCCGTGTGAGTGCGCTTATGCTTTTTTAAATTACCGGCGTTGGCGGTCTTATACTCGCAGCTATCGCACGAATATGGCTTCTCTCCCGTGTGAGTCCGCTTGTGGGTAAGAAGCGATCCAGAGTTGCGACATTTAAAATCGCAGGTATCGCACGAATACGGCTTCTCTCCAGTATGGATTCGTTTGTGCTTTTTTAGCAAACTTGTGGTCCAAGACCGATAGTCACAAGAGTCGCATGCATGCGGTTTTATTACTTTGTGGGAGTCCATGTGGGTCGCAAGCCTTTTAGAGCGCCTACAGGTATATTCACACATGTTACAGGAATATGGCCTTCCTGGTTGGTGGTCACACTCCTTTCGTTGGCGTGGCATTGCGTTCCTGCTGGGAAAAAGATGTCGAAATAAATATCATAGTATGGTGTTCCAAAATTGCCATCGCGCGTGTAATAAGGAAATTAATCCTACTACGCACTACTATACTATTAGTCATAAATAGTCAGTAACATGAAATCACCGACCACAGTATGTACTAAGATGCACTCCTGTAAAAAACTTTTTCCTAATTCTACTGTATGTGTAAACAAGACAAACAATTAGGTATGAGAAACTACAAACATTATTCTACCTCTAGATATAACAATTCAAGACTTTCTATATACTGCATCTAATATACGCTTCCAATTCTGAAATTCTTGGTCTGGTATGTACATGCCACACAATTGTAATTTATTTCTATGGGGTGAGTGTGCATATGAGATTGGAGCAAATCAGCCCTAGAGCATTTGTATTCACATTTATCACACGCAAAAGGTTTCTCTTTTGTGTGGGTCCGATCGTGCCTCTTGAGAGAGCTTGCGGTGGTACACGTATATGTGCATGTCTTGCACGAATATGGTTTCTCTCCTGTGTGAATACGCACG